AAGTGGGTGGATGGATGGATAGATGGATAAGTGGGTGGATGAGTAGATAGATGGAAGGTGGGTAGATGGATGGGTGGGTGGATAAGTGGATGGATGAATGGATGGATGGAAGATGGGTAGATGGATGGGTGAGTGGATAAGTGGGTGGATGGATGGATGGAAGATGGGTAGATGGATGGATGGTAGGTGGATGGATGAATGGCTGGATGAGTGAATGGGTGAGAGGGTAGGTGAGATGGATAGATGAGTGAGTAGATGGGTAGGTGGCTGGATGGGTGAGTAGGATGGGGTGGATGGTGAATAAATGGAAAAGTAGGCAGACAGAGGAATGAAAAAGTAGGTAGGTGAAAGGAGGGGTGGACAAAGCATCATAAAAGAAAAGAAATAGTACAAACTTTAGATTCTGACTGACCTAGGTTTAAGTCCCAGGTTGCTTGCTCTGAGCAACCTTGATTTAAGTCCCTTGCTAGCTCTGAGAACGCAGACAAACTCTTTAAGACCTCAGTTTCTTCATTTCTAAAACGGAGCTGTCACCATCTAATTTTGGGGTGGTTGTGAGCATTAAGAAACATGAAGTGTCCAGAGTCCAACGTGGCACACAGTAGGTGTCCAGTAAAGTGAGTCTCCCCCACCCCGCCTCCCTGCCCAGCACTGTATCTGATGGGAGGTCTTGGGCCCTGGGGAGTGCGTAGCTGTAGCAGTGGACGTAGAGGAGAGGGAGCAGCTGGTGGTTACCCTGCCATACTGGATGCCATCCTCTCCTGTTGACCATCCTGCCCACTCTGGATCATCCAGGGGAGCCCCTGGCTGGGCCTCTGAAGCGGCTCTGTCCTTCTCAGAGACCAACAACTTCATGGACCTGTCACTGAGAGGAAATGGAGACAAGTCAGCGTCTCTGTCCAGGGGGTGTGTGCGCACCCAACCCTCATGGCCACTGGGAGCCGGTGACCTCTGACATACACTCTTCACTCATTCATTCCTTCGCTCACTCATACAACCAGCATATGGAGCACCACGGGGCATCGCGCTCCGTCCTCCCTCCACGGTGCCCAGCTAAATGCCATCTCCTTCCCCGGAGGCGAGCAAGCCTGTTCTCCCGATGCTGTTTCTTTGAATGAACTTATTTAGTCAACTTTGGGACCTGTTTTTCAGAGTTTTCCTTTTGGCCTAAGCATTGCTACGGTCATTTTGCCCCTGCTGTTTACCCGCAGATCTGTTAGTCCACCTTGGAAGAAGGTCAGTTTTGTGCAATTCAAATGTTGAGGACTTCTTGTATCTTCCTTTCGTCTGCGGATGAGGGGGCTGCCTTAAACTTAAATGTGAATTGCCATCTGGTGACTGTGAAACCGTGGGCAGCTGACGTATCCTGTCTGTGCCTCAGTTTCCTCAGCTGAGGAAATGGGGTTAGTCTATGTCGGTCTGTCTAGCTACCAATCAATCATCCACTCATCCATCATTCATCAATCTGTCATCTCTCTCTCTCTCTCTCTGCCTACCTGCCTATATCATCTATCTGATCTTGGGATTATTGTGCACAGTGAGGACAAGTGGGATTGCCCAGTGTAAGACCCAGGAGTGCTCGGGGTGGCTACCTGGCATGGAGAGAAGCTGTGCTCAGCCTCTACATTCCCCAGGGACCAAGGACCCTCACAGTACCCCAGGAGCTCCCCAACAACTGTCACCTAAGCTCGCACTGTGTCCACTGCCCAGTGGTCTGCTGTTGACAAAGTCACTTTCCATAAAAAGGGCGAGTACCAGGTGGCAAGGTTCTAGGGCTGCAGACAGCCCCACAATGAGTCCAGCTATGGCCTGTCTAGAAGGGGTTAGGGACGAGGGGACAGGAGGCCTCCTGGTGAACTCCCACGCGTGTGTTCTGGCCTGTAACAAGTGATCCCACGCGTGTAGACTCAAGCCCTTCGTGTAGCAAGCCTGAAAAAGCATGACGAACGACAGGGCTGGGCACATCATTAACAGCTATGGCGAGGATCTTTCTCTGGCACCAGCCCTGCCCCTCTCTGGCAATGACACAACCTAACAAACTTTAGGGCATTCATCATATTTGAGGGCAAACTGGTCCTGCTATGAACTGGCCACATGAGGACTTAACCACTTTGGCCCATTGAAGATCAAAAGCTTTCGGCTGGTCTGGCCCCCAGAGCGGGCACTCAGCAGCTGTGAGGTCCAGAATGGTTCTGGCTGCCCTGACCTGCCCACGCTGCGGGTGCTGACCCAGCAATGCTTTTACAGCCTCAGCCTGCGCCCTCCCCACGCTCAGCACCGAGGCGGACTCACCTCTCGGGTCTGCCCTCAGGCCTCCCACTTCCAGCAGGGTCTCTGGGGTCCTTGGCATCAGTCGTGAGTTCTGTTTCTGCAAGGTCAAAGGAGTCTTGTCGTGTGATGGGGGGCCAGTAATCGGGGTCCAAACGCGGGCATTGACACCCACCGGCTGTATGGCCTCAACCTGTCTGAGCATCTGTTTCCCATGATCTGGCTCCTGCAACCTCTCTCAATCCTCCCTGGGTTCTTCTGGGACCATTACTCATTGAATCACTCATTCGTGCACTCATTCACTTCGCAAATATAATTGCGCACCTGCTATGAACTTGGGGCTGGAAAACAGTAGCAAACACTGCACAAGGCAAACCTCTCCGGTGTCCCCCGACAGCCTTGCATGAGCAGTTTCTTGTACCTGGAATGTTCTTTTCTAGGCAACTCGCACCCAACCTCAGGGGTCACCTTCCTCAGGAAGGACCCTGCCTCTGACCATCCTCCAGGTTGGGCAGGCCCCATCTTCGAGCTCCAGGATGATGATACTGCAAGTTGACGCTTAGGACTTTTACCAGGGTGAGCCCCTGTTCTGGGCAACAGATGTTTTCAGAAAAGGCAGAGCCTTTTCTGGGGGCACCTGGCTGTGGGTCCTTGCTTTTCCATGGTGGTGGGGGTTGGGGGAGAGCCAGGGGCGGGGGAGCAGCCTACAGCCTACTGATGAAAAAGCACATGCTCTGGAGTCAAGTTGCTTGGGTTCAAATCCCAGCACTGCCACCTATAAGCCATGTAAACTTGGGCTAGTTCCTTCACTTCTGGGCCTCAGTTTTCTCACCTGTTAAATGGACATAATTACAGCACTGACCTCACAGAGGCACCGCGATGATTAAATGAGCTAATGTATGTGAGGTGCCACGGGGGTCCTTATCACCCACTATGGGTGAGCTTGGATCGGTGACATCACTTCCAACGCGTTATCATTTTTCCAGAAGGCATGGTATTTTCTGGTTATTAGAAGCCCTAGCTGGCGTGTTGTGGGCCTTCTGGCCTCTAGCCACCAAATGACCATTTGCTCAGCCTCTGCAGCAGTTAGGACTTGAACACTCCAGATATGAACACACCCAAGTTCTAATGTTGTGACCTCAGAAAAAGTACTTGCCTTTGCCCCAGTTTGTTCATTAGTAAGATGGCAACCAAAAGGGCACATGCCTCATAAGACAGATCCAATGAACTTAGCACTCTCCTTGGCTCACAGAAGGTGTCGCTCACTCTAACTGGGGGGTTGGGTGGCCTCTCCAGAGAGCTGTCTGCTTCAAGGCCTGGGCTCCCAGGAAGGGTGTGGCCAGAGCCTTCCAGGCATGACTGTGGGATCCTTGGAGCCTTCTCCTCAAGGGGGTGCAGGATCCCGGCAACAGAGAACCAGCAAAGCCCAGCCCGTACCTCCATCTCCTCTATCTCCTGGCCTTCTGACTGCATCCAGAAGGCCCACCAGGGCCCCCTTCCTGCGTAGAAGCTCCTGGTAGGAACCCATCTCTGCAATGGCTCCGTCTTCCAGCACCACGATCCAATCAGCCTGGGGCAGGACGTGGAGTGCGTGGGTCACGAGAATCCGTGTCTGGGAAAAGAAGGGGTAGAGGTTACACTGCTGTGTTTGACCAGTCATCCAGAGCTGGGGGCTCAGGGGCAGGCAGTGTCCTGGGGCCGTGTGTGGGAGGAGCTCCCCTTCTTGTCCTCCCGCCTTCTCTCTCTATGTTCCGGTGGAGAAATAGAGGGGCTCCTTCAACCTGTGTCTTGAAACAAGACACAGGGTTTCCCTGAACCTGGCCGGTGACCTGAGGTACGGCTGGAGTAGTTTAACCACAGACCCATGAGCAAGAAATAACTGCTGTCGCAAGCCACAGGGATCGGGGGGGTGTTTGTTAGGCAGCATTGTCAGAGCAAAAGCTGACCACTATAAAGACGAAAACTGGACTTGAGGAGAGGGTTGGGTTAGGACTTCCCCTGCCTTTGCCCTGTGAACTTTGACACGTTTTCCCAAACGTACTGTTCCCTGGAGCAGCCCGTCAGGCCCAATGACCTGGTTGAAGACCTGCTGGCCGACGTGGGCATCCAGGGCTGCCAGGGGGTCATCCAGCAGATACACAGCGGCCTTCCTGTACACGGCCCGGGCCAGGCTCAGTCGCTGCTTCTGGCCCCCGGAGAGATTCATGCCCTGTGGCCACAGGAGAGGAACAGGGGCCTGGGTGGACGTCATGCTCATCAGAGTGAGGGCCAGCTCCCAGGTTCGAACACTTACTCTCGAACCAGCATCCCCACCAGCCTCCACCCAGCATCACCTCTCCCCTTGCAGCCAAGCTGCCTGGGGGAAGCGACTTTCTCTCCTCCGGCTCACTTCTCCTTGAGTCTGGCTTCTCTTCTCGCTTCTCCACCGTATGATACCGCCTTCCTCAGGACACCAGTCATTTCTCTGGTTGCCCAACCTTATTTTCTTTTTCTTTTTCTTTCTTTCTTTCTTTCTTTCTTTCTTTCTTTCTCTCTCTTTCTTTCTTTCTTTCTTTCTTTCTTTCTTTCTTTCTTTCTTTCTTTCTCTTTCTTTCTTCCTCTTTCTTTCTTTCTTTCTTTCTATTTCTTTCTTTCTTTCCTTCCTTCCTCTCTCTCTCTCTCCTTTTCTTTTCTTTTTCTCTTCCTTTCTTCCACTCCACTCCACTCATATGTTCCACATGGCTACTACACCCAGTGTCCTAGGCTCTGGGGATACCATAATGAACAAAACCCAGTCCCTGCTCTCATGGATCTTGCACTCTAATGAGGGTAGGGTGGGAGACATGTAATTAATAAACAAGTCAAATCTATCACCTATCAGAAGATGTTATGTGCTATGAAGAATTAAGCAGAATTAACGTGTATGTTGTACCAGCATGAACAGGGTTGCTGTGCTGGGGGTGGCAGTCAGGTAAAGCCTCTCCACTAAGGGGACATTTGGGTTGAGACCCAATGGGAGCGAGGGATGAACCATGTGGATCCACGGCAGATAGAAGAGCACCTCAGGGTGGGAGCATGCTTTGGGTGTGTAATAAACATACAGAGATCCATGTGGCTGGAGTGAAACAGGAAAGGGGGAGCATGATAGGATGGGGCTGGAGAGATGAGTGGGGCCAAACCTTGAGAAGACTTGTTGCGGACTATCAGGACTTTGGCTTTGACTCTGAGAGAGATGGGAAGACCTTGGAAGATTCCCAAGCAGAGAAAGGATGAGGTCTGACTTAGGCATGAACAGAATCCCTTTGGCTACCGCACCGGGCTTAAGCTATCAGGCGTGACGACAGAAGAAAGCAGGGCAGCCACGTAGGGGGGAACTGATGGTGGATGATGCCAGGACACTCTGGGTCCTCTTTGAAGGTGGACTCAACAGGATTTGCTGATGGATTAGATGTATGGGTGTATGAAAGAGAGGAGAACCAAGAATGATACCAAGGTTTGGGATCCGAGCTCTGGAGGGATGCAGCTCCCATCACTGGGGATGGGGGTGGGCAAGTTTTGGGAGAGCACATGTCTGGTTAAGGATGTGACAGCTGGTCACAGAGGGAGGGCAGCAAGTACTCCTTCTTTCTGGAACACACCCTCCCTTGGCCTCCGGGACACCCATCCTCCTCCCTGGACACTCCTTGTCAGCCGCTCTTTATGGCTCAGGCCACACAGGGACTCCTCCAGACCCTGTCCTGGGCCCTTTCCTGTTCTCTCTGGAAACCCACTCATTTCCTTAATGGCAGCTCCTAGTTTTTCACTCTCAACTGCCTAATCCAGAGGCTAGCAAACTTTTTCTGTAAGGGGCCAGACAGTAACTATGTTAACCCTGGTCTCTGCTCCTGTCATGCAAAAGCAGCCATGGACCGCCATTAAATGAATGGGCGTCACTGTATTCCCATAAGACCTCATTTACAAAAACACGTGATGGACTGGACTTGACCTGTGGGTCATCGTTTGCTGACCCCTGCCCAATCTGTAGCTCCAGATGTATATATCCTGTCTATTGGACATCCCTGCCCCAGACCCTTTGGTGAATCCCAGAAAGGAAAAGCTATTTGACCAATGTCACCCAGAAAAGCAGGGCAGGGCAGGACAGGAGCCCAGGTCTCCTCACTCCTAGTCGCTGAGAGCCCTCGCCTCCAAACCCTGCCACATGTCTCTGCCTTGGTCTCTATTTTCAATCATTCACTCGTTAACAACTATTTTTGAGCATTTGTTACGTGTTTGGCCCTGAACTAAACTCGCTCGTCTGTCCCGCTTTGCTGCTTCCTTGTGTCCTCTTTGTCCCTCCCACCACACGGCCCACATGCCAGGGAGACAAATGGCCCGAGCTCCGATGCCTTCCTGCCACTAGAAGGCCCCGAGACCCTCACCTGCTCCCCAATTTTGGTGTGGACCCCTGCAGGGAAGCTGCACACGTCTGGCCACAGGGCACAGGCCTCCAGGACCCTCTCCAGCCACATCGGGTCCAGCTCCTGCCTGAAGCACACATTCTCGACCACGGATGTGTTCTGGACCCAGGCCTCCTGGGGCACGTAAGCCACGGAACCCTAAAATACAACTCACTTCGGTCATCAAAAGGCAGGTAGGGATGGAGGTAGGAGTGATTTGGGGGAAGTAGGGGGAGCAGAGAGGAGTGAGCAGGAGAGGGGAGGAGGGGAAAGGAGTGGGGGGGACCGGGAGGGAGGCGGGGAGAGGGACATTGTGACAGGCAGGGGGCAGCCTCACCTTGATGGTCACCGATCCCTCCACCTTTGACAGTTCCCCAAGCAGGGCAGAGAGCAGAGAGGACTTCCCTGCCCCCACTGCACCAACAACCACCAGCAGATGACCCTGGGGCACAGTGAGGTTTATCCTGGCAACACAGGAAGGGAGATATGTCCCTGGGCAGGGCCCAGCCTGAGTCCGCGTGGAATTGGTGAACCCCGACAGAGCCAGCCCTTCCTGTTGGCGACTCAGGCAGAGGTCACTGTGGGTAAGCGTGGAGCTGTCCTTCTCTCTCACAGTCCTTGTGCAGCTATTTAAGTGGCCACCTTGCCCCACACACGTGCACATGCACACACACACGTGCCGTCACACAAGCACACACGTGCATTACACCGCACACTCATGCACACTCCTGCAGTCATACAAACGCACACCCTTAGCATACCACACGTACCACATACATGTGCAGCCACAGACATGTGCATGCACACTCACGTGTATGCACAAGTGCACACACATTCACACACATGTTCTAGTGCACATGTGCACACGCACTCATGCCTGCATGTGCACACGTGCGTGCACACACCTGCTTGCACATATGCACACACACACACACACACACACACTGTTTATTGTGGCAGGAGGGTCTAACCAGCCTTGCCTCTTGTCCAGGGTATTACAGTAGGCTCTTCACCACTCTCCCTGCTTCTGCCCTTGCCCTCAACCACTGCTCGTGTGCTGTAGCCCATCTTCCACCCCGTGGCCAGAAGGACCCGTTAAAACCCGTTAAAAGTGGGATCATGATGCCTCCTCGCTGAAGCCTCCAGCGGTTCCCATGTCACTCAGGATAAAAGGTAAAGCGTCCCGACAATTCACCAAGTACGTCCGACCTCCCACTGCTCTGTCCCTTAGCCACTCGGCCTCAGCCACGCTGACCTCCTGCTTCTTCTCAAAGACAGTAGGACAGTGGTTCTCAAGTAGGAGGCACTGTGCCCCTCCCCAAGTGTCATTTGTCACACCTGGTGGGTGGTTGCTGCTAGAAGCTAGTGGGCAGATACTGGGGGTCCTGCTAACCAACCTCCAATGCATAGCACAGCCCCTACGACAAAGAATTCTGCAGTCCTCAATGTCAGTAGTGCTGACATGGAGAAACCTTGGTCTAGGCACACTCCTGCCTCAGGACCTTTGTACTTGCTGTCCCTACCACTAGAAAGCTCTTCTTCCAGACACCCGCAGGGCTCATTCCTTCTCTTTATTATGACCTCACTACACATGCCCCTCCCTCAACATCACACCCTTACCCTTTCTCATTTGTGTGCCCCCATCACGTGGGCCCCAAGAAAGCAGGGCCCTTGCGCGTTTCCTTCACTCTGTCCCCAGAGCCTACAGCAGGGGCTGGCACATAGCAAGCGTTTAATAAATACTACGAGGGGAGTGAATGGCAGTCGACATGAATACCGCCCAGGATATTTTCTTTCCCTTCTTAATAGAGTTTTGGGGCTGGCTGGGGTTTTCTGCCACAAAGACCCCACCGAAAGTGGGGCTGCAGGTGGCAATGACCTGGGAGCTAACAGAGGAGAGAGAGAAGCAGATATGGCTGACGGGGTCTTGGGGGGGGCCTCTCTTTTAGGCCTCCCTTGGTGTCATCTTGGCCAGCGTGGGGAGCGGGGACCAGGGAGGTGTTCCCTCCCCGACTGGGGAGGCTGATTCACCGTTCCTCCACCCCCAAGAGTCTTGCTTTCCCCAAACTCTCTGCCAGGGCTGGTCCCAACCTCCCTGACAACAGCGGCGTGGGTGAGCCCGCCCTCCAGCCCCTCTCCCCCTTCCGCCCCATCGCGAAAGCCTGCACCGTCTCTCACACAGGACACCGCGGCAGCTCTCGCATAGTCCTCCCGACCCCGGGAGGGCAGTTTGCGGAGAAGCCATGCTGTACCTGCGCAGGCAGAGGGTGCCTTCTCGGGACCAGGCGAAGGTGCCGTTGTGCACGCTGATGCACGTGTCCCCAGCAGCTGGAGGGCAAACCCAGACAACCCGTGCTTGGAGAACCTCATCACACAAGGGTGCCCGTAATCTCTCCGACTTTATTTCCCAGCTCGACAAACACATCACCGTGTTTGTCTCCCCGGACTTCCCGCACGAGGGCGAGGACCTGGGCTGTTAGAGGATTGGCTGCTGTAACCCAGACTGACGCGCCGTCAGTGGGCACGGGTAGCCACTGAATGACCGGCAGAAAGTGTCACCGTGCCCGTTTCCACGTTGCACGGCTGGTGACCTCATCTGCGCGTGCCATCCTGTCACCAGCGGCCCCAGCTGGGACCCTGGCTTTTGGTCGATGGACTGCGGGAACCGCTCCTCTTATCCCTCCCATCCCCCTCCTGCTGAACTCCGCACTCACAGCGTCTGGAGGGACTTGAGTCCACAGCCCCAGGGTCAACTTCTTCCAGGCAGAGGAAGGCGGCCAGACGGTCCAAGGACACCCGGGCCTGGGGAAACCAAAGCCTCAGGTCACTGGTGCCCAAAGAGCAAAACACGAACTCGGGCTTCAGGTGCCTGGTGCCTCGGGATGTGGAAAACCTTCCGGTCTCCCAAGCCTGATGCATTTGCAAAGCTTTAGCGCAAGGCTTTCCAGGTCACGGGAAACTGTGCACACGGAGGTGGTGATGACGATGACGGTGGTGACCTCCCGTCTCCTCACCCCTAATTAGCATAGTAGGGACACTTGGGCTGCCATTCTGCAGATCAGACCCCAGAAGGAGATGGTGGCTTTTCCAAGGGGGTCATCAGACCATTATTGGAAATGGTTCCAGACTCTGTCCATCTAAGGGAACCCTCTCTGCTCTCAGCCCTAAAACCATCTCTGGGAACTAAGGAGGCGGCATTTGAATAGGGACACCTCAGGGCGCCTGGGTGGCTCAGTTAAGCGTTCAGCTTCAGCTCAGGTTATGATCTGGTGGCTCGTGAGTTCAAGCCTCGCATCAGGCTCTCTGCTAACAGTGCAGAGCCTGCTTGGGATTCTCTGTCTTCCTTTCTCCCTCTGCCCATCCCCAGTATGCACTTTTTCTCTGTCTCAAGAATAAGTTAAAACATCAAAAAAAAAAAAATTTAAATAGAGATGTCTCAGCGAGGCAACTTGCTCTCATTTCTACCACACCAAGGTGGCACAGTGTGAGCAGAGACAGGGAAGAGAATGGAAATAAAAACACTTTACATAATAAGAGAACAGTGATTGCTGCCCATTCCTTGTATCCTCTGCCCCTCCCGGACTCTCCCTCCCTCCCCTGTCGGTCCTGTGGGCAGTGTGGGGATGCACAGAGGCGGGGCACTGCCTGCTACACCCCTGCGGGTCTCTGCCCAGATGGCCTCCCCGCCCCACCGCCTCACCCGGACCACGGAGTCGATGGAGAAGGGCAGGAAACCCTGAGCCTTGGTGAGGATATCGAGAACCACGAGAGTCACAAAAGCTTTCTCAGCATCCATGGCATTCTCCTCAGCCACCAGCGAATGAACAGCAAACACCGCCAGTGCGACCTGGGGACACACGGGCAGTGACAATGAGCTGAGGGCACAACTCAGGAACCTGAGCAGGCGTCTCCAGGGGCCTGTTTGGCCAAGCCTTGCCACGTTGGAATGTTCCTGCCCGTCTGGTTCTCACCCTAAATTCTGCTACCCGCCCCAGTTCTCACTCCTGGTTCACAAAGCTGTGTTTCTCTGAAAAAATACAACCGTATTAGTGAAAGGAGGTGTGTGTGCAATCCCTGTTCTAGGACCAGAAACTCTTGGTTCCAGGCATCTGGGGACACTGCAGCATGCGGTCTGGGTAGGGTTTGGGGGGGTTCTAGGCATGGGTGGGACTTGTGAGTCTAGAAATTCTTGGAGATGACCCTGAAGTTGCACGTATCAGCAGCGCTCGAGAGCCTTGGGGGTTGGGGGCATTTGTGGCTCTAGATGTCACGAGGGGGTAGTTCAGTTCTAGGTGCCACTTGGTGATGATATGATGGTCCCTTAGTGTGCTGACCACTCTACATGATGCCCACTGTGATGGTCGCTCGGTGTGATGGTGACTCAATGACCCTTTCCGGGGAGCTCTCATGGCTGTAAGCAATGCTACTTGTGTTTCTCAGCGATGACTGTGTTGGTAACTCCAGATCGTCCCGGGGGGGGGGGGGGGGGGGGGGGG